CAATCAATGCTTCATATTCAGCCTCATTATTGCTTGTGTCGAACAAGAAGCAGAGAGCACATTTGAAATAACCACCCTCAGGGGCGGTAAGGATGAGACCAGCCCCACTGCCTTCTTTGCGAGATGATCCGTCGACGTTGAAGGTCCAAGAGTGGGGGTCTTCTGGCTCGGTAAGGGGTGGCGGGGGCGGAGGAGCTGTGGTTAGAGTAGGATTAGTGAATTCCAGGATGAAATCGGCTATAGCCTGCCCTTTAATCGCCGTTTGAGGCCGGTAGGAGATGTCAAATTGGCTGAGCTCGATCGACCATTGCATAAGTCTGCTGAAAAGCTCTGGTTGTTGCATTATCTTCTTCAATGGTTAGACAATGAGGACCACTATGGAATGGGCTTGGAAGTAAGGACAGAGTCGTCTGGAGGCAGTGAACAAAGCCAAGGACATTTTTTCTAACAATGGGTAATTTTGTTCCGCGCCTCTGAGAGCCCGACTGATGTAGTAGACCGGTCGTTGGACAGAGCTGTCCTCCCTGATGAGTGTTGCACTAACTGCGGTGTTTGACATGGCTAAATAGAAGAAGAGGGGTTCACCCGTGATTGCCTGAGAAAGTAGAGGTGGTTGGCCATGCACTGTTTCAACTACTGAAAGGCCTCTTCGGACTCTGCCGTCCACTCAAAAGTTTGCCGAAGAACTTTGAAGAAGGGAAGGCACTTGTCCATTGCGCGGGAAATGAAATGGTTGAGGGCGGCAACTCGGCCAGTAAGCCTCTAAACCTCCTTAACCGTTCTGGGTGACTACATTTCAATTAAGGCCTTGATCTTTTCGGGGTTAGCTTCAATGCCCCGCTGACTGACCATGAAACCCAAGAACTTTCCAGATCCTACGCCGAAGGCGCATTTCTCTGGATTGAGCTTCATTTGATGCTTTCGTAGGGTGGTGAAGGTCTCTCCCAGGTCGGCCAGATGATCAGTGGAGAGCTTGCTCTTGACTAGCATGTCGTCGACATATACTTCCATGTTCCAGCCTATCTAGTGATGAAAGACGGCATTGACCAACCGTTGGTAAGTGGCTCCAGCATTTTTCAACCCAAATGGCATCACACGGTAATAGTAGGTTTCCCGGTCAGTGATGAAGGATATGTGTTCTTGGTCAGACGGGTGCATTAGAATTTGGTTGTATCCAGAGAAGGCATCCATGAAACTGAGCATTTGATGACTGGCCATGGCATCAACCAGCAGATCTATGCGAGGAAGAGGATAGTTGTCTTTGGGGCAAGCTCAGTTGAGGTCAAAGTAGTCGACACAGAGTCGCCATTTACCATTGTTTTTACGAACCAGAACCACATTCGACAGCCATCTGGGGTAGTCCACATTTGTGATAAACTGTGCCTCAAGGAGCTTATCTACTTCAGAAGCAATAAGGTTATTACACTCCGGATGAAAGATGTGATGCTTCTGGCGAATGGGTCGGAAATGGGGCTCAATGCTGAGACGATGGGTGATGCAGGAGGGGTCAATACCTGGCATGTCGAAGTGGGTCCAGGCAAATACGTCATTGTGCTCAATCAGGAGGGCAGTGAGGTCGGCCTTGGCCTGGAAGGATAGTTGGCTGCCGATCTTGGCAGTTTTTGCCGGGTTAGTGGGATCGATGAGGACCTCGACAAGCTCTTCCACTGGTTCCCCCCTAACTAGCTCGTCCTCGTCTCTGATGTCGAGTCCTTCAATGATCATGGCCTCTTTGAGCTTGACCTCTTTAAGCGAGGCAACATAACATTCCCTGGCCACAGTCTGCTCTCCCCTGACCGTACCGACCCCAAGATCGATGGGGAACTTGACGGCAAGATGGAAAGTGGATGTAATAGTTTGGAAGGCATTTAGGGCGGTACGATCGAGGATGATGTTGTAAGCAGAGGGAGAGTCGACGACCAGGAAAGTAAACAACTTGGTGGTCTGCTATGGGTATTCTCTGATGGTGATGGGAAGATCGATGGAACCGATGGAGGTCACCCGGTCTCCAGTGAAACCAACCAACGGGGTTTGGAGAGGAGACAGACTTTCGTCCCCGATCTTGAGCTGGCGGAAGGCATTTAGGAAGATGATGTCTGAAGAACTGCCATTGTCGACAAGGACTCGTCTAACTTTGTAATTGGAGAGGAAGGCAAAAATGACGAGGGGGTCGTCATGGGGGTAACGGATGCCTATGCAGTCGACTTCCGTAAAAGTGATTGGCTCCATCCACTGCTTGGGCTGTTTGGGAGGGCGGTCTAATGTGGCAACTTCTTTGTCTGAGCCCTGTTTTATCTTTCTAAGTTTTGCCCGCTGAGCCGAGCGGGATGGACCTCCACAAGCAAGCCCGCCGACTATGACTCTGATTTCTCCGACAGGGGGGGCAGGGTTACCGTGCTTGGGGTTACTGTGGAGGGTGATCATGGCCAGGGTTAGGTTGTGCTGGTTGCCAGGGAGGAGTGCGCCGGCGGTTGTTTCTGATGGGCTCAGTCCTTTGCCTTTGCTGAGGGCGGGTGTCCGTGAACCGACTGAGACGTCTCTGACGTATCAAGCCCTCAACCTGATCTTTGAGGTTAACACACTCCTCAGTATTATGACCGTGGTTCTGGTGAAAACGGCAATATTTGGACTGGTCTCGCTGACTGGAAGGATACCATGATGGTTGGGGCCATTTCAAGGGGTAGTCTCGTTGGATCTGATTGAGGACTTGTTCCATGGGAGAATTAAGGGGTGTGTATCGTTCGAACCGGCCGGGCAGTCGGGCTGGTGCCGACCGATCGGCTCTGGGGGGTCGGTCGATATACTGAGGTGTTTGGTTATTGTACTTGGTGTTTCTGGTTTCTGAGTCCTTTCTCTTCTCTCTGGGGGTCGGGTTTTTGGCTATAGGGTCCTGGCGAGCGGCTAGGGAATCTTCTGCGTTCATGTATTTTTGGGCTTTGGAAAGAAGGGTTGCCATGGAGGTCGAGGAGTTTTTTGAGAAGGAGAAAAGGAAATCAGATGATCGTAGGCTGGCCATGAATGCCGTGAGGATGACCTTGTCATCGTTTTTCGCCACCTGCAGGGCTTCGGTGTTGAAGCGAGTGACAAAGCTGCGCAGCGACTCCCCCTCAGTCTGACGAATGTTAAGGAGCTGGGTTGCCAAACGCCGCTGGCGCTGGGTTCCAATGAAATGGCTGAGAAATGAGTCACTGAGGTGTTGGAAAGTGGAGACAGAGTCTGCTGGCAGTTGACTAAACCAGAGTCAAGCCGACCCCTTGAGTTTCACGGGGAAAGCCCGACACATGATTTTATCGGGGAATGCATGGAGGATCATGAGGGTTCTGTAGGTCTCCAAGTGATCGACTGGGTCCGTTGTACTGTCAAAAGAATCGATCGTGGGCATTTTGAACTTAGGAGGTAGACGTTTGTCCTTGATGGAGGCAACAAATGGGGAGTTGGCTGTGGTAGATGGTTTATGCTGTATGTTCTGCATGACCCCTTGGAGTTGAAGCTTTATGGCTCAGAGTTTCGCGTCCCAGAGAGGAATGTTGTCACCACCGAAAGGCAACGGGGCTGGACGCTGCTGGCCTCTCCTTCAGGGGTTGGTGCCGGGATCGATGGATGCGGGCCCCGGGGTGGCAAGTTTATACCTGGGGGAGAGGGTTGCAAGCCTTCCACGTTGGGTGGATTAGGCTGCAGGATAGTATGGCTCGGGGCTCGTTCTTGGTTGGGTGGGATATCTGGAGGCGGTGGAGGAGGCATAGGAAGGTTTCTTTGGAGTAGAGCATTAATCAGGGCTTGGTTTTGCTCGACCAGGCGGTTAATGCTGTTGGTGAGCTCGGTGAAATACTGTGGTGGGTTATTTGGATTGAGAGGGTCGGCTTGATGATCGGTAACATTGGGGTGAGAAGCCATGGATCTAATTGTGACCATCCACCTTCACAGGTGGTAGGAGGGGGTTATTGGGAGAGGGTCTCCGGCGACAATAAGCACAACTAGCACGCGGAACAAAAACGCTTCCCACAGACGGCGCCAACTGATGATACAGCGGGTTCCAGATGGAACGGATCGGACTGATCCACACTTCCCAAACCGGTGTCCGAGTGACCAAGCCCACGGAGGAACCTGTACAAGAGTTCAACGGGGAACGGGGAGTCCCCCAGCGAACCCTCCGATGAGCAAGTTAGAAAGAAAAATGGAATGTAGAGATAGATTAGAGATAGAAAGCTTAACCTTTTTCTTGTCTTCAACGTCTGCTTATATCCTCTGATAATCATTTCGTTGTCCCTTCCGACCTGTCACCTTGGCCGAAAGTCTATACTCTAGCTTACCTTGTTCATGGTGAAGGCGTTTTGTCCCGACGGAGAGGGGTTATCACAATAAATGCTGTAAGGGGCTTCATTAATGGCGATGTGCAGTGACAATAACTTTGCAGATCTTTGTCTGGTTATGTGGCTTGCCCTTCTCTTGCTATGTGTCTTGATGTTATTGGTTCTTATTGCTACGTGGGGTTTCAGCAATGCTGGGCTTTAGTATTTGAGTTATGTACTGGGCCTTAAATGGTGGGCTATAATCTTTATGGGATTACCCATGTCAAGTATTATGTAAAATTATGTTATATATTACGCAAATGTTTGATAATTAATTATAATATTCTTCAATCTGCTAATCCACTAAACTGCCTAAATCGCAATTTATCAATTTGTCAATCCACTCTCTCAAACCCCCACTGCGTACCCACCAATTCACAGGTTATGTAGAGGTCCATTTGGATAAAGGTTTATGCTCTTCTTGATGAAAAGATGGCTCCATGAAAAGTCAATCATCAGATGGGACCATCAAGGCTGATACGTGGCAGAAGCCCAGATGGAGCTTATATTCGTATGGACCTGTTTAGTAAAAATGCTACGTAAATTAATAAATTTTTATAATTGGTTAGTTCAATGGGTAGCTCTCGATGGTTTTTTTTTTTTTTTTTTTTTTTTTTTTTTTAGCAATTTTCTTTGAACGTGACCAAAAGATTCCTGATTCATTCGGGAGCTAGACAAGAGGAGCTTAGATGAATTTGTGAGAGTTGGGCACCACACCCGAGAAAATGAGGGACGGTTCATCGAGACGGCTTGAGCCATAACACTCTAGGATTAAACCAAGCGAAAATTGAGAGCAGAATATGAGCATGAATTCTCAAATCTGGAGTCACTTGCTCACCAATGCCAATTGAATTGAAGTGATCTCCCATCCCATAGGCTACCGCCCTAGGGTTGAGTGAATAATAAATCACCTGAGAGAGTATGCTTCTGTTGTGGGCTAGCAACAAACCCTCACAATCACAAAAGCATTTGACATTCTTTTCTTCAAAGTTTAAAATATATAGGTCACCGTCCAACACCTCACCCCCTCTAACGGTTACTTTTTAATCAAAATTGGAAACCGAAAGACATTATAATTCTAATTATTATATAATGTATAAAGCGTTGACATCCAAGATGGCGGGAACCAAAAAGGCTATAAATAGGCTGAGCCAGTAGTCACCCTCTTCACCACAACTCTGCAAACATCACAAAGCAACACACACACACACAACACACACTCTCTCTCTCTCTCTAACATTTCAATGGCAATCCCGGTGATTGATTTCTCGAAGCTCAATGGAGAAGAGAGGGCCAAGACAATGGCTGAGATAGCTAACGGGTGCAAAGAATGGGGATTCTTTCAGGTACTTGAACATTGATTGTTATTCAAATCTATAGCTGCTAACTAGGGCTTTAAACAACCAATACGTATCAGGATTTTAAACTTCCAATGCCGATATTCACTGTTATAGTCCATATATGACTATTGCTGATACACTTGTTTAGTTTAAAACTAACAACATTTTTTTGAGCATATTTTTGAAATGGTGCAGAAGTGAAATATCTAGCATATTTTTTAGCATATATGACTATCGCTGATAGCATATTTTTGAAATGTAAGAATATCCAGGATGCCTAAGTGATTATTCTGATATGGTGCAGTTGGTGAACCATGGTATTTCAGTGGAGCTCCTAGAGAGGGTGAAGAAGGTGTGCTCTGAATGCTACAAGCTGGAAAGAGAAGAAGATTTCAAGAACTCGGCGATGGTCAAGAAGTTGAATGATTTGGCAGAGAAGAAAGACAGCGAGAAGTTGGAGAATGTGGACTGGGAGGATGTTTTCCTCCTCTCCGATGAAAACGACTGGCCATCGAAGACTCCTGGATTCAAGTAAGCATTCTGATTTATCTCCTAAATCCTATGAATGCTCTTGTTTGGAAGACAGTCAAGAATAACCTAATTTTATGAGCAACCAAACAAACAAAGCACGAACGGATGTAATCCATTTTATCACACCTTAGTGAAAATTCCTCAAAATCTAAGGCCCCGTTTGTTTTCAGAAGTAGAATGAAAGAGATTGATAGTGAGGGGATTGATAGTGAGAAATTGTTAAATTATTTTTATATAAAATAATAAAACAAATAAAAAAATATAAAAATTAAACATTAATATTTTAAAAAAAATCCCCAATATATAAAAAATAAAAAAAATAAAAAAATTTCTAATCCCCTCACTATTTTTCTAATATCATCTCTACCTCCTCACTATGAATCCCCCTTCTAAGAGTATTAGTAATACCAAGGTATTAGTAGTTCCAAGACCATCTCTCAAAACAAACAGGTATTAGTAACACCAAGGTATTAGTAGTCTCAATCCCCTTCCTATAACCCCAAACAAATGGGGCCTAAAAGTGAACATATAGAAAGAGATCAATACAATACTTTCATTTCCAATATGGACATTTCAAACTTCTAATCGATAAATGCTATAAAAAAAACTAGTACAAGTTAAATTCAATACGTCGCATTTGATTAAGAACATTGCTTAACAGTTTGAATTTGACGACAGGGAAACGATGGAAGAATACCGGTCTGAATTGAAGAAACTGGCCGAGAAGGTCATGGAAGTGATGGATGAGAACTTGGGATTGCCTAAGGAATACATCAAGAAGGCATTCAATGGTGAATATGGAGAAAATGCCTTCTTTGGCACGAAGGTGAGCCACTACCCACCTTGTCCTCATCCTGAGATGGTGACAGGTCTTCGAGCTCACACTGACGCCGGAGGCGTCATCTTACTCTTCCAAGACGACAAGGTCAGAGGCCTTCAGATCCACAAAGATGGAGAATGGATCGATGTCCAACCACTGCCCAATGCTATTGTCATCAATACTGGTGACCAAATTGAGGTCTTGAGCAACGGTCTGTACAAGAGTGTTTGGCACCGAGTTCTACCCATCCCAGGCGAGAACAGGAGATCGATTGCTTCATTCTACAACCCGTCACTCAAGGCCACCATAGCTCCTGCACCAGAACTTGTGGAAAAGGTGGACCGAGAGGCGGATCAAGCTTATCCCAAGTTCGTGTTTGGTGACTACATGTCGGTTTATGCCGAGCAAAAGTTCCTTCCCAAAGAACCAAGGTTCCATGCTGTTAAGGCCATGTAATCAAGAAAGCAAATCTTCACATTCATAAGGTGGGGGTTTTTTTTTTTTTTTGGTGGGCTTATACACCCTAACAATGAAATTTTGCCGAAATGGCAGAAATGCTATGGCGTATAATCCTCTAGGAACATGCCTAGATGAGGATAGACAAGCTTGTCTAGTGTGTTTTTTTTATTTGGTTGTGTTTGTCTGTCTTGCAGTGTAATATTGGGTGCTTTATTTAATGTTTGCTTTGTACATTAGTGACCATATAAATTGTACTTTCCAACATCTCTTTGATGAAAATGGAAAAGAAATGTAACTTTTGTCACTCTGTCAGTTATGTTTCCGGAAAATCACTTCTAGGGTTTTAAATATCGGTTGAAAAAATATATATTAGGTTTTTAGACTTGTGATATCAATATTTACTAATATATTATTCGGTAGATGTATGGCCATATCACCGACACCGATATACAGCCTGATACCATTATTTAAAACCATCCTTCCGAGTTCTCTCTTACTATGTAATCATTTGCTACTTAATACTTTTTTTTAAAAACTATTGACCGGATGGATTAAGTCATATTTTATTGTATTATATAGTTCAGAACTAAGGCTCGCAGGAGTTCTGTTATTTTTCTTTCTAGGCAGGGTCAACTGTTCAAAATCCAGACTCCATTGGTAGAGAAGCTTTGCCATCCTATCTGAAAACCTAAAATAAACCTGGAAAAACTCCATGAAATGAACCCAATAAAATCCATAAATGATTACCTCCAAGGCACAGTTTAGATGTATATATAAATATAAACCACACTAATTTATTTTTCTGTAGATGTAAGCAATGTCGCAAATCTCTACGTACAAATATATTTAAGACATGCGCAAAAAGCAGCAGCGGTATCGAAAGGTCTACAACTGTGCACTGCAAATGAAACTGTATATATACACATATATATAAGATGTTTCTCTAATTTTTATATTTTTTTCTTGGCATAAACAATTTAAAATGACTGTAATCATGAACTAGATTATGAACAGAAGCTTATACGAAAATGCTGAAAGCATGAATCAGAGACAGATAGGAATAATCAATGTCTTTCAACAGGAAACAATATGTGTACGTCCATCGATATTCTCCTCCACATCAAAAATTACCTTATCATCCCAATGAGTTTCAGCTGCCGGTGAATATAAATATTGTGAGCATATATAATTGCGTAATCATGGGTGGAAACTCAGTGTATTAGGCCAATAGTTCAATATTCTACTTGATTCACAACCTGTCCTGCCTAGTATCTAATAAGATATTGTATACGTCAGAATTGTACACCTGCTAGAAATTTTAAATTTTGTTGGATCTGAGTTTTTGAGGATAATAAGATGAGTAGAATTTACATACCATGATCCAAAAGATTTCTTGTTTTTCCATGTATTGCAAATACTTCCATTTTTTTATTATTATTTTCTTCCTTTTCTGTTTTAAAATTTTATCAAGTTCTAGCACCAAGGACTCTGTAATCGGCCACAAGTCAGTTTCTCATATGTAAAACAGTTCCTGGTCTCAAAGGCAATATGAATATATATATATATATATATATGTATGTATTTTATCCACATGCAAAGAGAAAGTTGCATACATATGACCCTACCTAAACCCCCGTAAAGGCGTGAGCCTCCTATCCTTTTTATACACGAAGACTAGTTAATGTTAACTATTTTTTAGCATGCAGTGTTAAAAATCTTGGATCACATTCGTTGTTCTTTTCTAAATTCAACCAGTTGGTCTTTGACCTGGCCGACTAGCTTTGTTATTATGTATATTTTGTGTATGTTGCAGATGGTATAGATAGTCTGAGATATGCTGAGTAATTCCTTTATATATTTTCCTCTTACAATATAAACAAGTGGGTAGACTTCTTTAAACAGACAACACATTTTTGTTTAGAATATAATCTATGTTGGTACTAAGTGAATCCTCTTTCTTTGTTTATCTTAATATTGAGTTGTGTCCAATTTCCTTGGAAATTTCAATATATACTTGGATATGAGATGCATTTTACAAAATTCTATGATCAGACCAGGCGTCCATTTTGATTTAGTGATTCAAGTTTTTCACGATACTTTAGATCTTTCCAATTTTTTGTTTCATTAGTGGGTAACATAATATATTCATCTACAATTTCACAAATTTTAACTCGGAATAAAATTAACTCTTCCGTTCTAGGATTCTTTGTATTCCAGTCATTAAGTGAATAAGGGCAACTTCATGGAATAAAATTAGATCCACTAATCCACAGGTCCAACCCGAATTTTCTCGGGTTAGGCTGATTTGGTTCTACTATTTCAATTGGTTCAGTTCTAAATCCAAAAATTGATAACCGGCCCATACACACCACTTCTTGCCGTCTATAAGGTTTCAAATTATCTTTTTCAGCCTTCTAAATGGATCTACTCCAGTTGATGTTTATATTTAAAACAAACTAGAAAGCATAGCAAGAAGTTGAGCAAACACTATTGTTTAAGACATGAGAGAGTCCTACTTATCAAAAAATAGACCCATGAGCTGTGTAAGATTAGATATTTACTCTCATTCAAATGACAGTACATAATTACATCTGACATATGGAAAACCAAAGACCCAAAAAAAAAAAAAAACTGTTTCTTTAAACTTATAATCTGTACAGTAATTTATACAAACCTCAGACCACATTGGATGGGCTTTAGAGGCTTCAAAGGGCCTTCTGATCCAGTCTTTCATTCCAATTAAGGCAGCGAATTAAGCTGTGAAACCAGTCACCTGTTTGATCAGACTTGTTCACTGTTGGAAGTGGATGCCGGCTCATTGATATCTGGATGGAATCACCTCTTGAAAGTTGTTGCCTTCTCTTCCCATCAAAAGAGACCCATGCATTGCTTCTCGTGTCCTCCGGAATCTGCATGCATACAAATAAATAAATAAAAATAAAAATAAATCAGAGCCTCCAAATTGAGAATATTATCGACAAGAATATGATCAGCAAGTCACAGATTTGTCGGGAGCTGGAATGTTTAGTAAATAGTTTTTAGTATCATACTTTCAGCAAATTCAGTGGAAAACTCCAATTACATGATGCCATAAAAAGAGATTTCTACGAAATATGAAATCTACCCAAGTCCTAATGTCTTTGGACATGAAAACTAGATAAATCAGACACTTATAAGTTTACATACATACTAGCACCTGACACTCATACCTGAGTCCTTGCAACATAGTACCTGAGTCCTTGTAACATAGCTTTTTAAGAAGTGACTAGAAAAGAATATGATGACAGTTTTTTGGCCATGATATCTACATTAACAGTGAAATCCAGCCACTGCAGTCATTTATTTATGAAGGGACTTCATTTGATAAGTTCATAACACCCTTTTTTGTCCAGAAGAAAACAATTAAACAAACTTTATTATTAATTTTTCTACATGCCATGTCTTGAGCAATATCCTGTCAACTTCGATTTTTCCATGATATCAACAAAGAAATAGCTTAAGCATCAAAACCCAATAAACAAGAGAAGATAACCATTGCTAAAACTTATGTTTATAGAAAATTTAAAGCATCTTTTCCAAGGGATTTCCAATAATAATGAAAGTTCAACCAAGTTTCCGTAAGAAATTGGTCACCTATCAATCTTTCTAAGCCACATTGGAATGCCAATTGCCCAGTACTTGAGATATGCGAGGTTAATTGACTAGACCAAACATGACACCTGTACTCCAACCTACGCGAAATAGGCTAGAGCCACAGACAGATATGACCCCGAAAGACTTACTTCCACATAAGGGAAGACAGTTGAAATGATTATGGTCAACTGGCTTCTTCCAAATGTCAGAGATGGAAGTTCGTCTTACTTATCTCCAACCTTGTCTTAATGCAGTTGAAGTGCTGTGTAGGACAATGAAATTAGAAATAAGTCACGGGTTGGAAACCTATACTTGCTCTAGGAAATCAGAAAGAAGAAACAAAAAAATGGGTAAACAAATTTCTTTTCTTTTTTAATTTTTAATTTTTATTTTTAAGATTGCACAAATACAAAAATGAGTTCACCTTTAATTCAAGCCGGGCAGAATCTGGAAGTATAACAGGTCTGAATGAGAGGGAGTGTGGGCAGATTGGTGTAAACAGCATGCAGGGAACATTTGGATGCACCTGTATATCAGATTATCTATTGTAAGATACATAATACCTTTACCTTAGAAATAAACAACAAACAAAAATTACTAACAGAATGACAGGAAAAAAAAAAAAAAAAGAAGAAGAAGAAAAGAAGAAGAAGAAGAAGCAAGTTTAAGTATCATTCTGGTCTACAGCTGAAAATTCAAATACAGTCATGAAGAAGTTGATTCAATTCCTAGTTCTTTTGTTGGGTAACAAGATGACGTGAACAGTGGAGTGGAGAATATCTTATAGTGAGACTACTCATAAAATCAGTGACTGGACAAGCTTCCCCAGAGCCGTCCACTGGCATCCAGATGAAAAGGTTCACAGAGAATGAGGGAAAAACTGATCCATTGATTCATTACCCTCTTTTCATCTGTAACACACTTAATAAGAAACTATCATGTTTCTACTTAACAAATTATTCACATTCTTCAGCCACACCCACATAAAGAAAGCTATTTCTTTTAGCAGCTAAGGATTAAACAGTTTTTTTTTTTTTTTTTTTTTTTTTTTTTTTTTTTTTTTTTTGAGAAACATAAAAAAGAATAACCTCTTTTATAACCATATTCGATGGGAAAAATTAAGTAAATAACCAACTAAGAAAAAACATAAAGCCAAGGTCTCGAGTGAGAAAGCTCATTTGATTTCACCTTTGATGAGTGCAAACTTCATTTTTTGTAGTGAAATATTTGACACCTTGAAGAGAAAAGTATTCATACCTTCACACTTAATTTTTAAATTTTTTTATTAAACCAAACTAAGCCTTAAGTTCTATCAAATGCGGTCGGCTACATGAATCTTTCTTCTCCATTCGACTCTATCCAAGGCCATTTTGTTAGTCAAATTAAGGAGGTTCATATATCTATTTACTACACTAACCCACGTCAATCTAAGTCTGCCCCTTCCCCTAACACTACCATCTACCTTCACTGAATCACATCTCTTCACTACTATCTCTGTTGGTCTCTGTTATATATGACCAAACCATCTCAATCTATTATCTCTCAACTTATCTTCTGTCAATATTACTCTTATCCATTCTCAAACATACTCATTTCTAATTCTAACTTTTCTAGTTTTGCTACACATCCACCTTAGCATCCTCATCTCTGTAACACTCATCTTTTTTTTTTTGATAAATAATGAAACACTCATCGTATCTACATATTATTTCTTAGTTGCCCAACATTCCAACTCATACAACATCATTGGTCTAATAGCCGTTCTATAGAACTTCCATTTTAGTCTAGTGGGTATTCGTTTATCGCACAATACCCCAGATGCACTCCACCACTTAAGTCACTCCGCCTTAATTCTATGCACCACATCCACTCCAATCTCCCAAGCCTTTGTGATAATCGATCCTAAATAACGAAAATATTTACTCTTAGATAGTTTTTGGCTCTCAATTTTCACTTCTCCTCTACTTCCATTGTTACTATTACTAAAATTACACTCTATGTACTCTGTCTTAGTTCTACTTATCCTAAATCCTTTAAATTCAAGTGCTCCTCTTCAAGTTTTCAACTTAGTGTTAACTCTTTCTCTAGTTTCATCCACTAACACGATATCATCTGCGAAAAGCATACACCATGGCACATCATCCTGATTATTTCTCGTCAACTCATCCATAACTAAAGAAAAAAGATAAGGACTTAATGTTGATCCTTGGTGTAACCCTACAATAATTGAAAATTGACTCGTCTTTCCAACAGGCAATCTAACAGTGATCACCACACCTTCATATATATTCCTATTCATATCAATGTAACATTTTGTCACCCCTTTCTTCTCTAACACTCATTAGATTATATCCCGAGACACTCTATCATATGCTTTCTCAAGATTGATAAAAATCATATGAATGTCTCTTTTTTTTTCTCTATATTTTTCTATTACTCTCCTCAAAAGATAAATCGCTTCCATTATTGACCTACTAAGCATAAACCCAAATGGATTCTCTGACATCTCTGTTACATCTCGCAAATTGACGTTCCATCACTCTCTTCCACACTTTCATTATAAGACACATGAGCTTGATTCCTCTATAGTTGTTGCTGTTTTGGACATCTCCTTTATTCTTATAGATTGGCACTAAAATACTTTTCCTCCACTCCTCTGACATTTTCCAAGTCAACAAAATCTTGCTAAATAACCTAATCAACCAAGCAACTCCCTTCTTACCTAAACATTTTTAAGCATCAATAGGGATATCATCGGGTTCTTAAACCTTATTCGATTTGATCTTCTTAAGTGCAATCTCTACTTCAAAGTTCTTAATCTTACGATAGAACCTGTAGTCTTGATTTTCCTTATCACTGCTTACTTCCTCTCTTCGACCTACCTCCATGTTCCTTATTTAATAACTTTTCAAAGTAGTTCTTCCACCTCTCCTTAATCTCTTAATCCTTCACCAACACCTTAGAGTCCTCATTCTTGATGCACTTAACCTAATTAAAATATCTTGTTCTCATTTTTCTTATCTTAGCAAGTTTGTATATTCTCTTCTCTCCCTCCTTACTATCTAGTCTAGTGTATAAGTCATTATAGGCTTTCAACTTAGTCTCCCTCGCTACTTTTTTGACTTCCTTATTAGCCAATCTGTAATTCTATCATTCTGCTACTTTTTAAAGCATTCTTTTTCGTCTTTACTACCACTTGAATCTCCTCTCTCCACCACCAAGTTTCCCTAGAGCTAGGTCCTTTTCCTTTTGACTCTTCAAGAACTTCCCTTGAGATTCTCCTCATACAATTGGCCATCGAGTTCCACATAGTGTTAGTGTCATCTTCCAAGTCCCAAGTACTTTCTTTATCCATTCTATTCTTAAATATTTCTAGTATCCCCTTTTAGATCTCACCATCTCGTCCTATGACGTTCACTATCCTTTCTAGCTTGGTATTGCCCTTTAAAGCATAAATCTAGTACCAAAATCTTATGTTGAGACGTCAGGCGGATCTCTCCAGGAATCACCTTACAGTCACTGCATTTTACACGATTTCTTACTAGAAAGTAGTCTATTTGGCTCCTAATTAACCCACTCTTAAAAAGTTATCAAATGCTCCTCTCTCTTCTTATGCATAGTATTGGCCACCACTAGGTCAGAAGCCAATGCAAAATCTAATATACTCTCATCGGCCTCATTTTTATCACCAAAACCATACTGATGTAGGACGAGTAGGGATTACTTTCCTACAAGTAGTGAGCCCGGTTTAAATATAATGGCAGCAGTAACAATACACTTATAAGGCTGGATTTTGTGAGATTTTGTGGCTGCAAAATTATGTAAAAAATAAGAGTTTTAAGGGTTTGTAAAAAGGTAGGATTTCGGGATGAAAACACAAGTGTTTAGAGACAGGTGGGTGGTTGTTCAAAGCACTGTGAACAGTGACGTGAACAGTAACCTTGCTGGATAGAAGAAGAAGAAGAAGAGAAAAAGAAAGAGAAGTGCTTCACCCTCACAAGGGATAGGCCAATCACACAAAAACAATCTCAAATTTTCATAATATTAACCCTGCTATTGAATCATTGAGATTACACATATATTTATAGGCTAAAGACTTTCCTAATTCTATAAAGACTATTTCTCAAATTTAGAAACTAAAAAATATTTAGCAACTACTAATATTCTAGACCAACTATGACTTCCAATTTTACTTCAATCATAATAGGAAACTTTAATGACTTCTAATTCTACTTCAATATCAAAATAGGAAATTTGGACCTTTGACTACTAAGATTATTTTAAACATAATAAAACCTATATATAATAACCTATTTAATAACTTGACCCAAAATAAAACCCATGGGTGACCCCTACAACCCATGTCCAACAATTATTGGAATTACCATTATATCCATAATTACTAAAACCTACTATAATGACATGAAGACTCAAAATTATTCTAAATCTTTAATTCTTGATGCATTAAATGTGCTTCATGTGAAATTTCAAATTTACTCTTTTTCTTCTTTCCATGATCTTCATCACATACCCACCATACACCCTCTCATAACCTAATTTATCTATTCCTACACGGCCGTTGGAATCACCCCCCATAACTAGGTTTTTTTCCTACGAGTATCTCCCGTAATATCTCATCCATTTGATCCCAAAAACCTCTCTTAGTCTGATCATCTAATCTTATTTGTGGGGCCGTATACGCTGATAATGTTCACTATATTATCTCCAATAACTAGTTTAACCAACATAATTCTATCACCTTTCCTAATGACCGCCACTATATTTTCTACAAGACCCTTAGCAACTATTATTTCTACCCCATTCCTGTGTTTATCTTCGCCACTATAATACAATTTAAAACTGGTATCCTCTATTTTCCTACCTTTCTCACCCGTCCACTTAGTTTCTTATACGCAAACTATACTAACTCTCTTCCTAATCATGACATTTACGAATTCCATAGTCTTACCAGTTAAATTACCTACATTCCATGTTGCTAAATTTTTTTACTATTTTAAAATATTTAATTATTTATTAAATTAAAAAATTCAATTAAATGACCAACCAAGAAAAACACAAGACTAAAGTTCAATTGAGAAACTTGATAACTGAAGTTAAGAATGTTGATTTTTCACCTTCAATGAAGGCAAGCTTCCTTTTTTGTAGTGAAATGTTCAATGCCTTGAGGAAAGAAAAGTATTTTCAGCTTCATATTTAATTTTTAATATTTTTTTAGCTTTTAAAATAATTAATTATTTACTATATTTCATATTTCAAATTTTCATATACTTACGCCTCATCTCCCGAGTAGTAAAATGCCTCGTGTTACACATTTGCCTTTAAAACTTTGCTATTTTCTATTTACTTATTAAGCAAATTTGTAGTAGCAAATTTGTTGTAGCAAATTGTGGTAATGCCTGCCTCTGTAACCTTCTAAATAATGTTACATTAATTTTTTTTTCTTTGGTTATTTGTGAACCCCTTCATTCTTCTCATTATTTTTATGCTTTTGTATCTTTTTATTTTTATTTTTATTGAGTCTTATATGTATCATATCATTGCATATCACTGAATTTCGAGCCGATATGCTGCAACCACGTCAACTAGAAAAAATACAATTAGCAAGAAAACATACCATGGAACCTCCTGCAGCAGTTGAGTAAGCTGTACTTCCAGTAGGGGTAGCAACTATGACTCCATCACCTTGCACCTATAAGATAAATGATTTGGAAACATTGTAACAAAAGAATTTATTATGATAACGATGAAAAAAAAAATTTATTATTACGCTATTTCTAGATTTAGACGGAAAAAAAAAGTAGCACTAACAGTGGGCAGTGCTAGCATAAGAGTAAGTATGAGTTTGTTGCCTATTTGACTGTTAAGCACTAGACTGAAGAATATTTCAAAAGATCTTGGGAAGACATGAATTCATTGATCATACCTTGGTTATAAGCCGGTCATGTTCATAACATTCAATTTTAGAAAGGTATGGATTAGAACCACGATCAACCACAACCTCATTGAGGACATCAAATACTTTCCCAGGCATTGCTTTTCCATTTCGAAACATTTCACAGCGAAGACGCATTCGGAGAGTTATATAAACACCATCCATTGTGTTGTTCCCATGGATAACTTGTCTCAAATCGTGCATATAGTCTTCAAACTGTACCAAAATATAGATGAAATGATTAAAAACAATAAAAAAAAGTTCATCCACTAAGAAATTGAAGTTAATTCTCAAAAGTCGGGTTGAGCAGCATACATTGTGTGAAGTGAGAAATCCAAGGGATCCAAGATTAAATGATACAACGGGGGGAACAGCACCTCTAAATATGTTTGAGGCATGCAGTATAACCCCATCCCCTCCTAAGCATGCCACAAAGTCAACCCTCTCATGAAGATTACTGCATTAAAAGCATATAGATAGAGTTCTTAACACGTACAGAAGAACAAAGCTCTTACAATTTTAAATGGGTGAGTTCCATACCTCATATCTTGACTATAGAAGGTCTGAACGAACCCAAACCCTGGGATTCTTGCAAATATGTCATGTACATCGGGTTCAACAAGAACATTCATTTTCTCTTGGTGATACAAGTAAGAGGCAACCTGCACTTTTGGACACAATAGGTGCTGTTAAAAAGGCTACCGTGAAATATATGAAAGACTATACAAGTACACAGAATTGGTGATGTAGGAATCAGCCAGAATCTCTACCAAATTTTCTATATTTCAAAACAGATATCCCTCCATTTGGAATCTATTCTTAATCTTTTGTGTCTCCAAGATTCAAATTCACATGTAAAATCCGACAAGCAATTGATACACTCCACTAAAAATCATGAAGAACAAGAATAGAATCAGTTCCAGGAAAGTGGAAGAATAATCCAAGTTTAGCATAGCAAACTTATCAAAGGCTGTTTATAATGGTCAAAAACTGAACAACAGAAAACAAAGGCTCATAATATTGAGCTTCTTGTATCTACAAGATTAAAAATGAAATACTTTGATCCTTGAACACAATAAAAATGCATTATCAAACTTTACTACAGCTTTTATGAAACCCTAGAGAAAAATATTTAATGTAGCAGAAAAGATAAATGGAACTTCAATTTATATAACATGGAAAAAATCAATCAAACATGGTGAACTCAATCACAAGCTACATGAGCCCATCCTATTTAATCAATTAATTTTCTAATTTCTCTTATTTTGTTTGCATACTTTTTCAAACTTCATATACACATACAATAAGTCCTTCGAAATGCTTAGCATTAAGGTGAAAAAGTTTGGCAATACTAGCATACAAAAATAGACAAAGTGTTCTTTTGATTTTTGTTAGCAAGATCTTGGTATGCTAGTATTCTTTCGATTTTTATCAGCAAGATCTTGGTGTGCTACCTCTTTAGCTTCTTCCATGAGTTCTTGGCCTAGTTTCTTTAACAATAGTACAGTCTTTGGCGTAGATTTCCACATAAGCATCTGCTGTTGGGTGCTAGGATGACTGAAGGCCAAGGAAGATTCTGTCACCTTTTCTCTGGAACAAGAGAAACCATCCGTGCGAACTAAGAACATCTCTGCTTTCTTTCTTGATTGCACTCGCACCACACCAGTCGTAGAAGCACACATATTTCCTTCGATCAGCCCCAAACTATCATCACCTGAACTTATGGAGGCCATACTATTGCTCCTTTGGTCCTCTGTGACAGATATAACATTCTTGTCCAACTCATTGCTCAAATTTGTAGCATCATCTATGCTATACCTTTCCTCTTTGCCAAATCCATTCAGAGTGGGAATAGAGGAAGGGTAATTATTATCACCAAAATAAGTCCCATTGCTAACTGGAGGACTCTGAGGCTTCAGAGTTAAATTCTTATAGCTTACTGATCCATTTGTACTTCCTATATCCATGAACCTCAATTCGGGACTTTTCCCATTAATTTCACTCTTCTGAAGTGTCCCATTATACTTCTCCCTGGGACAACACAGTGTCTCTGGTTTTCTCTGTCGGTAATTTAAGTAAGTGGGAGGTGAGATCTTCTTATTTCTGAAAAACCTGGACATCTCTTTTCTGGAGAAAACGTTGCAAGGAGGTAGCTGGGACTTAAGAGGATTGACTTTACTGCAGAAATCAGTTAAAGATCCTAGTTCATCATTGTTAACTGATGGTATTGATGTGGTGTCTTTCTGAGAGACAACTCCAACATAGACCCCATTGCATTGGTTTTCTGTAGCCAGAGAGACATGATTGAGAATATTTGCAGTGGAATTATGAACCGTATCAAACTTCTTGGCAAGCAATCCATTTTCATCACCAAAGCATGCAATTTCTAAGTTAGACGTTTTCAATTCCTCCATTCTTTTTGCATCTCCTGATCGAATGTCACGTCGAGTAGTTGCGTAATTGGATGCATATCGAATCATGTACTGCCTCCATCTAGAAACCATAGCAGAAGTCCTCCAAACTCCTTCCCTACTATGAAGATATATGGGTTTTTTACTTGAATTTGACACTAAAGCTGCAAACTTCTCAACCTGCTCCATTGAAGGCGCAGTCCCAACTTCAACAGGAAGTTTTACCAGTTCAACTTTGCCAGAAAGGATAGCATCATCCAATGCCATTTCATAGAAGTTATCCTTTATAGTCTCTGCTCTGAGATCAACTATGGTTTTAAATCCTTTCTCTATCAGCCATTTTAGTCCTTCTTCTGTCACCTGGCTACCCCTCCAAAAAGCAACCTCAGAATCATTAGTTTCTATATCTTCTTTTGAGGTGGATAGATAAACGGGATTCCAGTTTGCAAACAGTGTATGGCAGGGATCACCATCCCCACGGGGAAAACCAGAATCATAACAAACACTCTTCAGTCTTTGCAGTTTCTTCCATACATTTAAGCTTCGATTGTCATCGGGTGTCAAATAGTCTTCAAGAGCAACATGTAAGCTCTCACAATACCTTTTCATCTCACCCCTGAAAACGGCAAGTGGTGGAAGCCTATCGTCACTTACATTTATGTCTACAACACGAAATGAATTCATGAAGGAGGATCTTCCAGAAAGAACATCTTCTTTTCCTTTGTTCAGGAGACACCCCATGCAAGCAAGAACAGACACTATTTTATCTTCCAATAATGGTTTATCCTCTGACGGGAAATTGTAGGAAACAGTACATTCTCCTGTTAATGGATTGCACAATGTGTCCATTAATGCATTATGTAGTTGTTCGGCAGCCCTAAAGATTCGACAATATGCCTCAACTTCTGCGATATCCCCAGGAACTGGACCAATCCAAGGCAACTGTGATAGATCATGGGACTTGAAGGTCTTCAAAATTCAAATAAACAGGCATCAGTACATAATCTGACAGCATTATCAAGTTTATCATCTTTTCTAATCAAATCCTCTAATGAAAGAAGCTGATTAGCTATTCAACAGGAAAAATAAATTATGTAAACCTGCAATACTAGAAATAGAGAGAGAAAAAACTAACCTGCTATAAAAGAGAGACAAAATGGAAAATCAGCATCAGTTGACAGAGAAACAACAAATCTAAAGTAAAAGCCACACATCAATAAGTCACAACATACAAAGAAATAAAAACTTGAAGCACTTGCTCGATGCCAAGAAGCGAAATTCAAAACGCAGCACAAAGTTGATCTAAAGAAAGTTAAAAAGTAAGCATGGTCATGAGACAGGGAACAGTTTTACTATTGCAAATACAAAATCAGTGTTTTAAGGCTCAAATGCTGTGGTGGAAGCAAGGGTAAGATTAGGACTGTAAATGAGAAAAGCCAAATACTAAGCTGCTCGAGTTTGACTTGATAAACTAATAAGCTCTGATTAAGGTAGAGCTCATGTTGTTTATATTACAAAAGATCACAAATGAGCTTCTAGTCTGAGCTTGAGTAGCTCATGAGCTGATCGAGCTCAACTCAAGATCAAAAGTAAACTAGCTCCCAATTAAATACTGACATTGGCTTGTTTACAACATAAGCAATCTCAACATGCCTCTATTCAAATCAAGTTCATCCTGAAGCCCCATGCAAAACAGAACATAAAAAATCAAACTTACACGAAAAAAAGACTGAGTCTTTTGACTAGAGCCAAAGTGATGGCACCCAACCTTATGGTCATTAAGAATTTAACAAGCAATTTAAAATTGGAGCTCTAAGAATAAATATCAGTTCAATGAGATTCAATTTATTATTTTCTCAAAAATTAAGAAAATTCATGAATGAATGCCAACAATTAGAGTCCCCTGTTGATAAACCAGTTTTTCTAACCAGACCCAAAATTGGCCCGAGACGACTCAATTGATAAAAACCCATCACAAGTATATTGTAATTCTCGTAAAAGAAGATCAAAACACACAAACAAATCAAACCCATTTCTCAGAATAAACCTTACAGCCCTCTTTCTGAATTAAAGTACCCTTCACAGTCATTTCATCAAACATCATTTCTACGACTCCACATATACACATACCTTCGAGTCCAAACCGATATTCACAGAGAAAGGCTTCGTGAGCTCCGCACTGACGACGAACCTGAGATGACGCCTTTCGAAGAATCTCTCTTTTCTCTGAAACGAAAACCCAAAACCCAACCCAGGAATCTGAGTGGCTCTGCTAAATTGGTGAAAACTGAGGGGACAGAGATGGGTTATTGTTGTTGTTGCTGCTCCGGTGTCGATTGGCCGATTCATATCGCCGCCGATGAACAAGTGGCATCAGAAAGAGCAAGAGCAAGAGCATAACATGAAATTGTACAAGTGGGAGGTGGGTATATATATAATTTTTGTGATTATGTAAATTATGAGGATTGGCAATTTACATGTACATGATTGAATTGGGATTTGGATAAAGAGGAGAGAGAGAGAGAGAGAGAGAGAGAGAAGAATATTATGTGGATAGTATCGTTGGCAGTTGTAATAGGTGGTGGTGATGGTTTTGTTGTCGATGTTGGCTGTACGCTTCGTCTTCCACTCGTATATGCTGTGCTGTGTTGTGTTGTGCTGTGCTGTAGCTGTTGTTTCAGTTTGTTGCTATTGATTTTGATCTTTTGATGTGATATTCCTTAGTGGATATGGATGTCACTTTTTATTTTTATTTTTTTAATTTTGTGGAAATACAATCTCCAATATCTAAACCATTGAGAGGCCAGAAATAATCACGCTTTAAAACAAAACAAAAACAAATAAGAAAAATTGGAAATATCATTTTAATTGGATGTTGGAAAAGTAATACAAAATTAGAGGAAAAGTATTTTTTATTTTTTTATTTTTTTTATGATTTGAGAATTTTCAAGATTGGATCTATTTATGACATGAACTTATAAATTAACTGAGAAGAGGATATGGAGAAACTTATCCCTCACCTCTCAATTTCAGCCAAGGATTATAAAGAAATTGGTATAGATTTCGCAGGTCGTTATTTACCAATTCATTCAACCTTGGGATTAATTAGAGGAAAAGTTTACAATATTGAAAGAAAAGTTCCTAAACTTTAGTATTTTTTTTATTTTTTTTTAGGGGTACTTTCTATTAACAAAAATATTAAAGGTTTTAAAAATTCTACTAAATATTTAACCAAATGTCTCATATATGTATAGATTTCTCACTCATGTAGGATCCTATGAGACCCATATTCATGTGAGATATTTAATCAAATATTTAGTAGAATTTTTAAAGAAAAATTGGCCTAAGGTCCCTCCTCAACTTTTAATAGGAGGAGAGGTACACAATAATATGTTATGATGGTTAAGGTCCCTCAACTTTATTTAATGTTATAAAATACCTAATTTACCCTCGTTATAACATAAGATCGTTTGGATTTTGACAAGCTACTGACTTCACGGTGAGATTTTGGAAACTGATTTCACGGCAGAGATTTTGTCGGAGATTTTGTAGGGATTTCGCAAGTGTTGCAGTGGACTTCACGATAGAGATTACGCCGATCGTGTAGGTGTTATTGTGTGTTGATCGCGTAGGTTTTTCAGTTGAGTTGAATCAGGTATGGTTTCGATAGAGATTCCACATAATTTTTTATTTTTCTTTTGAATTTTATGTAAGGATTCCGATTTCATGTTAGTTTTTCGAATGTATTTTTGCATTAGGTTTTTCTTTTCAGTTTTGATCAAATTAAAAGAGAGGCTAGCTCAGTGAAGTTATTTATGATTTTTTTAGTTGATTTTTCATTTGCTGTTATTGATCAATTTTAGACAAAGGCCAGCTTGATAGAGTTGATTTTTATTTTTGGAATTAATTTTTTATTCTCTGTTTTTTAATCAATTTCAAAGAGTGTTGACAGTGTGGTTGATTTTGATATTTAGAGTTCATTTTTCATGCTCTGTTTTTCATCAACATGCTGATCAGAGTTCATTGTTCGTGCTCTGTTTTTCATCAACATGTTGATTAATGATAAGTTTTGTTCTCTATTTTTTCAAACCAGAGAAATTTGTTTAAACTAGAGAAATTTTATTCTCTGCACTTTTGTTGGTATAGTCCAGAGAAAATTGTAAGTTTGTTATTATAATCCAACAAAAATGACAGAGAAAATTATAAGTTCATATGGACATATTATTAGTTTCTAGTGCAAATAGAATCTGAAAAAGTAAATGTAAGTTCTTAAATTTTTCTAGACTTTTATTTGTAGTTGAGAGAAAATTATAAGTTTGTTATTCACTTTCAGTTTGTAGTTCATAAAAAATTATAAGTTTGTAGAAAATGAATATAAGTTTTTGTTTCTCTGAACAAAAGTTATTTTTTGTGTTTTTTCTTTCAGTTTAGATGGCCAGTGCACTGTTTTTAGAGAATCTTGAAGATGTATATGAGTTTGTAAATTTCTCTGGATTTTGATATGAGTGTAATATTGTAGAATGACGCAAAGAAATTTGTAAGCTTGTACTTTAGTGAAAATCACAGAGAAGCTTATAATTTTATAACAGATTTTCTGTGTGTTTTTTGTCTATGATTGTGTTTAATAGTTAGCAGTAAATTTCTCTGTGATTCTATCTGGATTCATTAATTTTTCTATGATTTTGTTTTTGTTATCTTGAAGGTGAATATAAATTTGTAAATGTCTCTGGACTTTTATTTGAATCCAGAGAAAATTATAAGCTTGTTATTAGAATCCAGAGAAAATTATAATTATTAGAAATTTCTCTGGACTTTTATGTTGTTCTTGTGAAGTGTTTTTATGTTGAACAAATTATTTTTCTTGTTTTTTGCTTTCAGTTTTGATGGACAGTGCAGTGTTGTTGCTGTGCAAATATGGGAATGATACTATTGTCATTAATGTTTCATGCGAATTGAATTTTGAGGAATTGTTTGGCATTTTGTGTAAAACATGGGAGAATTTGCATCCTGAGACGATGTGCATTTCATATTCTATTGTGGGCCATCCGAATTGTATGGTTTGAAATGATATTGATTTTCTGAATATGTTGAGGGTTGTTTGTGCACGTGGTGTTGATATAGTTGATGTTTCAGTTACTAGATGTAGTACTTCTGATCAGGAGGATGAAATGGGGTCTAATTGGGTAGATGTTGTAAATGGTGAATGTGATAGGCTGGTGGATATTGAAAGGAATTCACTCTATAAGTTTTGTTCTCACCAAGAAAATGTGTTATTGTCAGTTGGTTGGCGAAATAATATTACGAGTATTGGACAAAAGTTTGAGGGTGGTGTGGTTGAGTTCCGTACTGTTTTATGCAAGTATGCTATTGAGGTGGACTTTCAGTTTACGTATGCTAAAAATGACAAGCTGAGGGTTACGACAGAATGTGCATATAAGGAATCAAGGGGATGTATGTGGCGTGTACATGCTTCAATTGAAAAAACAAATGGGTTTTTTTACATAAGGACTTTGAACGATGAACATATGTGTGGTGTGGCGGTTCGTACTAGTAAACATGCTAGGATGACATCCAGCTTAGTTTTTGGGCTGATATTTGAAGAGGTAAGTGCAAAACCTTTAACTCGTCCAGTAGATGTTGTCAAAGAAATGAAAGACAAATATGGGTCTCAATCAGTTATAACTGTGGTTGGTTGGGGGTTGAAAAAGCAAAACATAGTACATATGGGAATTCTTGTTTGTCATTCGATCAATTACGGTGGTATTTTGATGAGGCATTAAAGAACAATTCAAGTAGTCGTTTTAAGTTAGATTTTGAAGATAACAAGCGTTTCAAAAGAGTGTTTGTAGCTTTTCATGTATGCATTGTTGGTTTCAAATATTGTCGGTCATTGCTTTTTCTTGATGGAACATTTTTGAAAGGACGATACAAAGGAGTTATGCTTGCTGCAATAAGAAAAGATGGGAATGAAGGTAATTGTAAATATATCTAATTTTATCTAAGTATGTGAATTTTCTATACATGTAGGAATTGAGTGAATGTGATTTTTCTTTGACACTTTGAATTTTCTCTGGTTTTGGCCACTGTGTGGATTTTCTATGGTTGTGGCCACTGTGAGAATTTTCACTGGATTTTGGTCAGTGTGTGAATTTTCTCTGGATGTTGTCATTGTGTGGATTGTATCTGTAGTTGGTCACTAAGTGAATTTTGTCTAGATGTTGCCAATGTTTGAATTTTATCTGTAGTTGGTCACTAAGTGAATTTTCTATGGATATTCTGATTGTGTGAATTTTCTCTGTAGTTGGTCACTAAGTCAATTTTCTCTAGATGTTTCCAATGTGTGAATTTTCTCTGTAGTTGGTCACTAAGTCAATTTTCTCTAGATGTTGCCAATGTGTGAATTTTCTCTGGAGTTGGGCACTAAGTGAATTTTCTCTGGATATTGGCAGTGTCAAATTTCTCAGGTTGTTTATTGTTCTAATTTTCTCTGCATGTGTATATCTAATATGCTTGTTCCTATTTGTTTTATAGGTTTTTTTCTATAGCTTTTGCTGTTGTTGATGCTGAGAATAAAGACAATTGGTGTTGGTTCCTTGAACATTTATGTGGAGTATTAGGATCAGAAAGGGTGATAAGTTTCATATCAAATCGACATTGTGGTATTGTGGAAGGAATTCCTAGGTTTTTCCCTAACTGCTTTCATAGATTTTGTTTTGAACATCTAAAAAGAAATTTGAGGGATAAGTTGTCATGTGGAAACACAAATTTGGTTAGGGAGACGATTGTGTCCTAGTTTTCAGAATGTGCATATGCACCAACAAAGGCATCATTTCATTTCAAGCTAAATGAATTAAAAAGTGAGGGATGAGACATTGTGAGTGTTTTTTTGAGAAGTTTACCATATGAAAATTGAAGTGATGCATATTTTGCGGGGAAACGTTATGGTGAGATGTATTCAAATATTGCTGAGTCATTCAATTCATGGATACGAGAAACTCGGCACTTGCCGATAACAAATTTGGTGTACATGATACGGTTGCAAATCATGAATATGAGGTCTGATAGGAGGCTGCTCTCTAGTAAATTGAATAAAGTTCTATGTCCTCGTATGGATAGTGTATTGGAGAAGTCTTTTTTGGATGAGAGGACATGGAATGTGAGTTTATCATCTGATAATATCTTTGAAGTGCATTGTTTTCCTTCGGTTATGGTTGATCTTAGATTGAGAACTTGTTCATGTCGAAAATGGGAAATAAATGGGTATCCATGTCAACATGCTGTTGCTGCAATTTTTAGGAGTGGAAAGAATTTGAATTCATTTGTTGAATCATTTTTTCATGCTGATATGTATCGTCAAGCATATTCGTTTTCGATTGGCCCAGTTCCAACTGTTGAAAAACCTGTGTGTAGCATTGAACATGCTATGATTTTACTTCCATTGAGCAAGACTAGCTGAGAGGCCGAAGAAGAACAGAATTGCTTCTACTGAAGAGTTTAAAATGGTGATTAAGTGTAGTCGTTGTGAGAGTATTGGTCGCCATAATAAGAGGACATGCAAGGAATCTTTGTTAAATAGTTGAGGATAATACATTTTATTGATTGAATAATACATTTGATGATTA